AGTTGGAAAGTTATTAATACTGGAATCTGGAGCGCATAATAACATATTCTTAAATCAATATATCCACATAAGAGGACCCTTCATGCGTTCTCTCAGTCTCTCAGCAAATTGTACGCTAAGCAGATCACGTTTAACTCCAGTGGAGGATAGGCCCGCCCGGAATTTGGGATTTTCCCGGTAGGCCCTATCCTGTGTTGATGTATGCGGGCCCTAGGATCATTTATCAAGTACCTACTGAACCTTGTGTGATGAAGATTGAAAATAATTTTAATAAAGATGCAAATTGACTAATTTAATATTTTTGATTGCCTACTCTACAAGAAAAATACCATAATCATTTAGCTTTAAACAATATTTATTTTTGTTCCCCGTATCGACCGTATCATTGGGAATACTGAGATTTATGATTAATTGACGTATTATTTTACATTGTCAACCAATAAAAATGATAAAATAATAACAATATTAGTTTTAACAAAGTTTTAAATTATCAAATTTACTGACATACATTTAAGTTGTTTTAGTGGTTTTACATCGTAGTATAATCATAATTAAATACTCTTTATTTTGAAAACCTATTTTTATCTACAGTTGTTCAATACTTCAATGTGAGTATGTGATTCCCGTTAACTTCGATGCACTTTCGATCCGACGATGTAATGAATTCCAAGTTTTTTCCAACAAATTTAATGTTTGAAGAATGATATCAGCTACATTATTAATTCTCATCAAAAGTTCATCTCTAGCTATTATGTAGGTAATTCTTTGGCATAAACATGTTCTTTCTGAATATTCAATATTAATGTGCTCCATTATTCAAAATGTAAATTGAAAACTTAAATCTTAAAAATAAATTTAAAGTGTTCTTCAGTGGATATTGCTTCAATGGATATTGATACTCCAATATTGAACTTAGCTATATAATCAAATCAACTAATGTTCTTTATGTCAAAATTACGGTCAATTAGTTATTTTATAATAGACAGCAGTACAGCACGGATAAAAGTTACCATATTTTATTACCTGTACATCTAAATCACACAAATCAATGTATGTCAATATGTCAATTGTCAGTAAATTCGATCATTTAAAACTTTGTTAACCCTAATTTTGTTATTATTTTATCATTTTTATTAGTTGAAAATGTAAAATAATGCTTTAATTAATCATGTATTTTAAATAACAACAAATAACTATCACCACAGTTTATCTTGTAGTATTCTCATACAAATCGATGTGCCCACCAATTTTCTTTTAGTCGACGATTCGAGCGTGAAAACGCGCAACAAGCGCGAAAATGATGTGACACGTCGATTCGTATGAGAATTTTGCAAAAAATACAACTTGACTATTTATTTCTACATTTAAGATAATGTTCTATTAATAATTTGTTTAAACCCAGATTTTGAAGATGGAAAAAAAATTCAACAAAATCTTCATTGGGCCATCACACTGAGTACGCCTATACTAGTTACCTCATCCATTTCAGAAACACCCTGCATAGTTTTATTTTTATGTCATGTTAGCTGTTGTCAGTTGTCACCTTATTATTGAATTGTTTGATTGTCTAATGTTTATTCATATTTCTCATTTCTCATTGAAGTGTTTAATGTATATAGGGTGTAGTGATGTGCCGTGGGTAAATACCCGACGGATAGGTAAATATTTTGGGTATTTACCCACTATAATATTTACCTACCAAAAATTTAGGTAAATGTTTAGTTAAATTTTTAAAAAATTGTTTTAAATTTTAGTTAACCTTTAATGAAACTTAAAATCATTTAATTCATTGCAATGGATAACTATAATTATTGTCAAACATAATCTTTTTTATTACGAGTATTTTATTGGAAAAGTCTGGAAACAATCATAAAAAAGTATTGTGATATCCATTGATTGGTTTTAGAATAAAAAATAAATTTACCTAATTTACCGGGTAAATACCCCGGTATTTATCTGAAATTATATTTACCAGGTATTTGCCCATCACTAAATTAGTGTGTGCGTATACTAATTAAGATAGGTACGTTAGAAAATTTAAATATAAATTGTAATTTTGTTTTTCAATTACTTAATAAATTACTACCTATATTATGTATATTAGTATATTATTATACAGTATGTCCCTGCAGAAGTCCAGTGTGTCCCTCGTATCACCCTTAGTATATCCGTGGAAAATCAATATACAGAGTGTATCTTATGTCATTGTACGAGGGTTTTTGTTTACTATTATGGATCGAATCCGATCGATGACATAGAATTTCGTTAAAAAAAAAAAAGATGTGTGTCTTTATTTTTAACAGGCAATTTAAAAGATAATTTTGCGACCCTATGATATTTTCAGGGGTCGCAAGTGCGCCACTTTACGTCACTGTATAGTGTATTGTTATATCAAAATAAAATGTCGCTCAAGTCTTATTTTTTGGGGTCCCTTATTCAAATTACTTCCCGGTAAAAAAATATAAGGTCTATCCACCACTGTTTACCTCTGTTAGTTTAAAAACTAGAAGAAATTGATCTCTTATACAATTTACAATTTTAAAATACCCATAATGATAACTTGCTTTAAAATTAAAATATAAAAAAACCGTAAAGGTTCACTAGATAATATTCTTATTTCTAAATTTTATAAGAGATCAATTTACTCTAATTTTTAAAATAACATTTAACATAGCTAAATCCCAAATGTGATCTGCAGAATCAGGACGTACCTACAATTTGCAATATGTTATGCGTTTGTAAGAATGAGATCGCATGCGGATGTAGCGTACTAGCTGTTAACGCCCTGGCTTACTGCTAGGTAAGAACTAAGATATGCTTAAAATATTTTTTTCTTATCAACACTAACATAGTAAGTAAGTAGTAACATGTCTTAAGTATACCTATTCTTGGAGGAGAATTGAAAATGGTTTAATAACTGCCAAAATGAATACATTCATAATTTATCGGAACATTTAAGTTCCCAAATCTGTATTGTATTCATTTTTTAAAACCTCAGCATAATATATCCTTATGTCTGATGCTGTCATTTCAGTTAGTTAAAAAAAAATAAATATATTTTTTAAAAGGTTTTCATAGGTTATGGTACACTATAAACATTTTCCCGCCCCTAAAATTTGGCCCTCGGGGCTTTTGCCTCAGTTGCCTCCCTTTAAATGCGCCACTGTCTACATCGTAACCATAGAAAAATAAGTAATCGTGATTCGTGACTGTATCTAATATCTATATTCTATACCAGGCGTGCCCAACCTTTTTTAACTTGCGGGCCACATTCGAAATTTATATTTATACTGCGGGCCGTATATGCTTCATAGGTTTTTTTTTGTTCATTTCGATAAAATATAGACTAGTCATAGGTATATCTATTGTACATTTTATCGGATATAATATTATCTTTGTTCACTTATCGAATTTATGACTCAAATCGTATGTGTTTAAAGTTCTCAATATTTCCACGCTATAGTTGTTAGTTTGTTTTCGTCATTAGAAATTGTACGTTCACATTAAGATGTCTCAAAATAAAAAGCACAAAATTGATACCGAATGCCGTGTTTTTAATGATAATTGGAGTCTGAGTTATTTTTTTATCGAGTATCGAAATAAAGCTATGTGTTTGATATGCTACGAAACCGTGGCGGTCTTTAAAGAATTTAATATTAAAAGACATTATGAAAGTAAACATCAAAACAAATACGTCAATTGTAAAGATAAATATTTATCATATTTTTTTATTTTTCTGAAGAGGGTATTTAGGTATTTCGCTAACTAAGTTTGGATTTAAATTTTAAATTTTAGGGAATCTTAGAACTTCTTTGTTAGAAAAATTCAAACAAAATTTCAAAAGTGAACGCGTCGGAAATGTATTTGAAAATATTTTTCAAATATATAATATATATTATATTAATAGAGGTAAAGATGAGATTATTCGAGCAAGTTATGAAGTAGCTAACCTGATAACTCGCGAAAATAAAAGTTTTAGTGATGGCGAATTTGTAAAAAAATGTATCTTGGCAAGTGTAAAAGAAATTATTCCGGAAAAAATGTCTGTATTCGAGAATATCAGTTTGTCTCGAAATACTATTACTAGGCGGGTAGAAGAAATTGGAGGTGATTTAATGACGCAGTTACAAATAAAATCGAAAACGTTTACATTTTTTTCTTTAGCTTTGGACGAAAGCACTGATGTGTCAGATACTGCACAATTATTAATATTTATACGAGGAATAGATACAGATTATAATATAACAGAAGAACTTGTTTCATTAGAAAGTATTTCTGGAACTACAAAAGGAGCTGATATTTTTGAAAAAGTGAATTGTTGTATTGAAAATTTAGGACTGACCTGGGAAAAATTTTGTAGTATTACAACAGATGGAGCTCCAAATATGGTTGGGCGAAATACGGGATTAGTTGGGAGGATAGCTGAGTTAACAACTTCAAAAATGATTGAAACACCTATATTTTTACACTGTATTATTCATCAACAATCTCTGTGTGGTAAAATTATGAATTTGGAAGTTTGGAACATGTGATGAATATTGTTACAAAAACAGTGAACTTCATTAGATCGCACGGATTAAAACATAGACAATTTATAGAATTTTTAAATGAAATTGAATCGGAACATAAAGATGTTTTGTATCATAACCAGGTTAGGTGGTTAAGTCGAGGAAAAGTATTAAAACGTTTTTTTGACCTTCGGCAGGAAATTCAAATATTTATGGTAGAAAAAAACAAACCAGTAGAAGAATTTGAAAACGAACAATGGATGTACGATCTGATATTTAACTGATATTTCTGCTCATTTAAATGAATTAAATCTTAAACTTCAAAAACAATCAAAAACTATTTTCGAGCTTATAAGTGATGTAAAATCGTTTGAAATAAAATTACAACCTTTTAAAAACCAAATATTAAAGCAAAATTTTTTACATTTTAAAACGTGTCAAGAAATTAAACAAAATTCTTTAATTGACGTTCCGACAAATCATTTTGTGAGTATGTTGGAACAATTATCAAAAGAATTTGAAAACCGTTTCCAAGATTTCAAATCACATATGACTTCATTTCGGCTGATTGAAAATCCATTTCTGTCTGATGAAAATAATGTTCATGAAACTGTTCAACTTGAACTTATTGATTTAAAAACAAATAATCATTTGAAAGATTTATATAAAGATATCACAGATAAAAATACAGATTTAATACATTTTTATAAGACTCTTACTGATGATTTTCCAAAAATAAAAGAATTATCAATGCGTATATTTACATTATTTGGTTCTACAGTTCTACTTATATTTGCGAACAAACGTTTTCACGCATGAATTACGTAAAATGTTCAGAAAGATCTCGTTTGACTGATGAACACTTACACTCCTTATTAAGAATTGGCGTTACACATTTCACTCCGAATATTGAAAGATTTGTTAAAGAAAAACAAGCCCAAATTTCACACTAATTTATTGCTATTAATGTTCTAAAATGTATTATATACTTAAATTATTTAATTATTTATTTATTTGTATTTAGCATGTTTTACATTTACACCAATTTATTTCTATTAATATTCTAAAATCCAATGAATTTTTTTTTATATAAAAATTAAAAATTGTAAAATAGGTATTTTATATTCTTAAAAACTTAATAAAATACATTTTTTTACACCTATATAAATTTCTAATTTTTATAAAATGGTCACGGGCCGGTTGGAACACCTTCACGGGCCGGATTGGGCACGCCTGATCTATACCTCAGTCTATGATTGGGTGATCCCAGTGATCCCACAGGATAATAACATGGAACAATATGATAATAGGTATTATTGTTATAGGGCAAACTGTGATAGTGGTAATAGTTGAATTTTTTTAGGTTATGTTAATTTATCGTTTATTTGTAGTTATACTCCGGCCCACGAGAGAGTATCCCGCCGCCCGACGAAAACTCGTCCGATTCCGCGCATTCCCCACTACTCGGCATGCCGACAGCTGCCCGGCACCGGCCGGCAGCGCACGACGCTATACAGTGTGGGTTGTAATATAAACTGTTTACAGACTGTTGTAGCGTTTGTGTTTTTGTTCTGCGTCGTCGCGTCGATTATTAATTGTATCATCTGCTTCGTGTACACAGCGCGCTTATTTTTTAAAAATATTATTTGCACTGTGATCTGTGATATACTAATATTTTCAAAATGAGTGACAATGAGACCATGAGTACAAACACTTCTGTCACGCCGGCTGTTGACAATTTGCAGAATCAACAAGTATCATTGAGTTCACCCGTTAAAAAAAATCGATGTGGAGCGGTAAGCATTTTTCAATTATTTTAAATTATATATTTTAAAATTGGTAAACGGAAAAAAACCATGGAAACAAAAACCAAATTTTTAAATTTTGCTATATTATGTTATATATTATAGTTATGTCATAGTTTTAATTTTCTAATTAAAAATGTAGATCAATAATCCAGCTTATACTATAATTCAAAACAATTGTATCGGTAACATTATAATAATATAAATTCTATTCATTTTTTAAATATTTTTTTTATATATATTTTTTTTGTAGTTTTTAATACGATTACTTTTCTGTTTTTTTTTATTATACTTCCATACAGCTTACAAAATATATAAGAAAATATCAAAACCTTTTTTAAAATAAGTTACTTCAATACAAACATTGGTTGCTAGAGTAATAATAATAATAATAATAATAATAATAAAAATAATTTATATTATAAATTAATTTTACAATAAGTTATATCTTACAAATATGCACATAAAATGCGTCTGTAAGAAATAATTATGTTTATATACTTTTAAGGCTAGGCTTAGGTTAGACACGGAAATATTACTCTTAAAACTGAAAATATAGTATAATAAAGTTAAGCTGGTTTTTATGTATGAAAATAATAAAAATATATTGTAGGTATGAACTTATGTCTAATGAAATAATATGACATAAAATAGCTTTTGTTTTTTTATTCCGTGGTTTTTATTTTTTTGTTTGGTTTTTTTTCCGAGATTCTTTAAAATTATATAAATAGTACTAGCCAGCATACATTTTTTACTTAACTGCATATTTGTTTCAGTTCGTTGGAAGCAAACAGAGAACATTGGTAATTAATATGTATAAGGCCAAAATTCAAAAACAGCCAGATGCGAAGTTCAATAATTTAATGAAAATAATATCCGAAGAAAGTTGCACTGGATACACTACAGTTTGTAAAACTGTAAGAAATTATAAAAACAATAAAGAAGTGAAGTCACCCAATAAAACAAAAAATCGTCCAACAATCAACGACAAAGTCGACGATTTTGAGAAAAACGCTATCAGGCAAAAAATCCATGGATTTTGGATTAAAAATGAGATTCCAACATTAAAAAAAATCGTTCAGGCCATCAGTGATGATATGGAGTTACCTACAATACCCAGGACATCTTTGCAGCGTATTTTAAAAGAATTGGGGTTTGAATATACGAAGAGAAACCGGAACAGCGCCCTGACCGAGAGAGGAGATATTGTGGTATGGCGGCAAAAATATATTCTAGACATACGACGTTATAGGAATGAAGGTCGAACAATATATTTTCTCGACGAGACATGGGTGAATGCGGGAGAGACTTGCAACAAGGTGTGGATGGACAAGACAATCAAATCGCACAGAGATGCTTTCCTAAAAGGACTGTCGACCGGGCCAAAAAATCCGACAGGTAAGGGCAAGCGATTAATTGTTGTTCATATCGGCTCAGCTGAGGGTTTCGTCGAGGGTGGTCTACTGTGTTTTGAGTCAAAAAAAAACACAGCAGACTACCACGATGAAATGAATGGGGACACCTTCTATGACTGGTTTTGCGGAATTTTGCCTAAACTGAAAGATAATTCCGTGATAGTCATGGACAATGCTTCCTACCATTCCGTCAAACTGGACCCCATTCCCACAAATGCTTGGAAAAAGGACAAAATTGTACAATGGTTAAGTTCCAAAGGTTGTAGTATCGAGACGCCGATGGTCAAACATTTAATGTTGGACAAGGTCAAAGAAATTAGACATCTTCATGACAAATATGTGATTGACGAAGAAGCATCAAAATCCAATAAAATTGTATTGCGTTTGCCGCCTTACCATTGTGAGTTAAACCCAATAGAGTTGGCGTGGGCGGCTGTGAAAAATCACGTAAAATATAATAATACAACGTTCAAGCTAAACGACGTACAAAAATTACTGGTCGATGGCGTCAATCTTGTAACACCAGACATGTGGGCCAATTTCGTCAGACATACCATCAAAGAAGAAGATAAATTGTTCAATATCGATTTCATTACTGAAGAATTTGAAGAAGAAGGAACATCTCACGTATTGACAATTACAGGAGATACTTCTTCCGATTGTTCCGATTAATTTTAAATTGTGTATAGTTATAATAATAATAATAAGTTGTTTTTTATATTTATGACGTGTACCTATATGTACTAAAATATTTTATAATAATATATATACATAATAAGTTGTTTTTTATATTTATGACGTGTACCTATATGTACTAAAATATTTTATAATAATAATATATATACATAATAAGTTGTTTTTTATATTTATGACGTGTACCTATAGCTATTAAAATATTTTATAATACAGTAGACGCCGCTTATAAGACTCACGGATATAAGGTTCAGTCGCTTATTAGACTCAAAATCGCCTGGAACCTAACCTAACCGGACGTATCCAAATACATTAAAAAAAAATCGGTTGTAAGACTCAACACTTCGGTTATAAGACTCAAATTTCCATCACCGTGGTAATAATTTTAATATATAATACGAATACGAACAGTATATTTTCGGAATATTAGAACAAAATAAAAAACAAACTAAAATTACAAATTTTTTTCAAAATAAATAATAAATACATTATATGTACAACGATAAAACGTTATTAAATAACGATGAAATTGTATCAATTAAAAAAAAAAATAGTCATCGTATGTTTGTACGTATGGCACTACATCACTCTGTATAATGTATGTAATCACTGCATACACTCTGTATTCACTTCATGGCATGCCGCAGTCGCGGAAATAGTGGGGGAAATGTGGCCTCGGAACGGTATCCGCCGTCAGTATGCATGCGCAAAACGAGGATACTCTCTCGTGGGCCGGAGTAGTAAAATGTAGAATATTGTAATTTGTAGATGATAGTACAATGATAGGCCATAGCGATAGCGTTTCGTTCAAACCCGTTTTGCTTTATTAATTATTTGACTATTTGAGTTTATTATAATATCGTGATGCATTTTATGTATTTAATATTTATGCTAATTCCTTTTTCTACTCGACGTTGTTAATGAAAATTGTTAGGTATTTACAAAGTACAAACTATAATTCTGCGCATTTGCTTGAAATCATCATCCGAGAATAATACCATTTGTTTAAAATTTCACGTTTGTTGATTCATCCACTTTTGTCCGTTTAATATTTTTGAAAAAGCGTTCAATCCGTCTTGCAATGAGTGAAAAACCCTCGCAAAGTAAACCAATCATTGTCAGGAATAAAGAATCCGAAGTGGATATTTACACGGTAATTTTTTATTTTTGATAGTATTTGATAGTTCCTTCATTTATATTAGTTGATTTGCTTACTTTGTTATAAAAAAAAAACTAGTAACGAGCTCAATAGAAAATCTAATAGATTTAAAAAAATAAAATCTAAGATTTCTAAATATTGTAGTTGCCAAATTAACATATTATATTCCATTTATGTATTTTAACGTATTGCTTACATTATTCCTTCAATGTGTACTTATAAATTCTGTGTACCTACCTACTTTTAGAAGTTAAAATGTATAACAATTAATAATTGTGTTTAATGATAATGTTTAATTTTTAGGCGGTATCAAAATATGAAGAAAAGCAAACAGCTAATCGAGATGAAAATAATGATTCTGCAATCTACTTTAATACCTTACATAAATGGCAAGACATAATGAAATGGAATTATGAATTAAAAAACAAGGAAAACTCACCAGTAGGTTATATTTATTAACATTTTTATTTCTTATGAGTTATGGTAGTATACTCTTGGGAAAGGGAATCTATCCAACTAGGATACAAATAAATATAGCTAGAAAATTAGTATATACAGGTTATTTACCAAGAATGCTCTCCTCTTTTAATCATACTTAGGTAATTACCAAACACGTATTTATTATAATAATGACTTTTGGAATTTTTAAGTATGAATACCATATTATTTTAAATTGATGAGATGACATTTTTAGGAAATACTTCTGGTTAAAACAATACCTAAATAATTTAAAATTTCATTCGTTCTAGATGTCTAGAGAGTAAATACATTCAAAACTTTTAAGGAGGGTCCTCCCCTCAAAATTGTATTATGTCAGTGGAGTAGTCAGAATTTTTTTTTGGGGGGGCTGATCAACTTTTACAATTCTATACATTTAATCATTAAATACGTACTAGCACAGATAGATAGCTGAAAAGTGTTAATACTTATAGGTACATTTTTAAATATTTTATTATATGATAAAAGACTTTTTGAGCAACTATCATAGACCATAAAAATAATTTTAAATTTTTTTTAACATTTTGGGGAGGGGGGCTGCAGCCCCCTCAGCCCCTCCGCTGGCTACGCCACTGTACTATGTATTTTAGTTTTTTCCATTTTTTAAGTACCTAGGTACATGTTAGGTAATATTTGGAATATTTAAATATTAATTTACTTAACCTATGTCTTTACTTAATTTCAACAGAAAGAAAAACTTGAAGAATACAAAAACGATGTAATACATTTATTTTTAATTTTAAAAAAGTTAAACAGACTTGATAAAATACGCTCAAAACAAAAAAAAGATTTATTAAATAAAAAAAAACAAGAGATTGATAGTAAACATTTACAGCAAGAAAATCTTCTAAACGAATTGTTTTATTTAAAAAAAGAAATATCCAAGTGCCTTCAATACAAGTATAGTATTCACAAAATTAGTTGTTTAAATAAGATTAATAATAAACATTAGATTTATTTATTTTGTTTTAGATCTAGTGATAGTGATATTGATCTTGTACCATTAGAAACATTTCGCTTAGAGTCGCCAGATTCAGCCGATTATATTGTATGTACATAAAATAATTGTTAATTATTAAGATATTATTAATGTTATCTTTAATTATTAGGATACATTAAAAAGTGGACTGATTAATGAACATGATTTACATATAAAACGTCTCCAATGGGAATTTGAACAGAGACAAACTCAACAACAACAGTGTGACGAAGTAGAAAAAAATAAAGAAACTATACTTTCCGAAATTCAGGAAGAGAGCAGGATATTACAAAGTATATTACCTATGCTTAAAGACATACGCACAGTGAGTTTAAATTCTATCAATTTTTAATTTCTTTTACAATTTAATTTATTTCCAAATTATACATTAGAAAAAAACTGTATTCGTTTAACAATCTTTAACATTTTGTTATGTAACAAAATAATATTTTAATCCCGAATAAAATATATTTTATTTATGAAAAATAATAAATGTTTGTGTAACTTTAAAAGTTAAATCAATAAATTATATAATTTTTATTCAATATTAGGCTGCTCAACCTTTACAACAAAGTTTTGGATTAACTCCTTGTCAAGCAAGATCATATGCAGATATTGTGAATTTATTGCCCAAGCCCTTATATTATTTATACATACAAACAGATGCATATAGGGTAGCTTGCAGTAAGTTATACTTTGTAAATAATAAATATATGTTCTAAGTTAATTGACAATATTAATGAATAATAATACATTTATTTATTCTAGAATCAAAATTCACTGTTTCAATTAATGGCGATGAAGAAGAAGCTAGAAGATTTGATTCTAATAAGAATAACATTGTTGATACTAACTCTGATGAGGTAAATAATATATTAATAAAATTAATACAACTTTTTGTAATTATTGCATGAGTCAATAAATACAGGTGGCTTGGTGTGGCGCAGTGCGTGCACTCAACTGCAGAAACGCACTGAGTGTATGTAACGGCCAGCGTTGCTAGTTCCCGGATGTCTGACCACTCAGGATTTTTAGCAACAAATCCTTGCCACACATACAAAAAACGTGTTTTCAACTGTTCCTCCCCCTACTAACAACCTACAAACAAAATAAAATAGCTAAAATCCTAAGTTTCCATGCTCAAGCTCAATAAAAAATAAATAAATAAATACAGATATGTTATTATTATTTCTAAAATATTATTATATAATTTAACTTTTCTATATTGATATCTTTTTCATTTCTAATGAATAATAAAATATTTAGTATTATTTACATTTTTTATGGAATTAATTTATTATTAAGTAAATATAAATGAGTGGATGTATTATTATTGGATTAGAAATAGCAACTTTTTCTTTAACTGTCACATAAATATAAATGTAAATATTTTACATGTATTATGTAAAATGTGTCCCATTGTAATCAGTGGCGTAGACATGATTTCTGAAGGGGGAGGATCAAAAAAATAAAAGGATATAGTTAAATGGGAGGGGAAAATTGGAAAATCCTCCACTCTCTCAAAACTTTTACTTAGGTAGTAAAATATTTAACAATAAGGAACAATGAATGTAATTCAAATTAATTAAAACTTCACATCAAACACAATATGGAAGATTATCCACTCCAAAGCCAATGGGAGGGGATCCTTTTATACGCTACTGATTTCAATATATTTTTTTTTTTTTCAAATATAGGTATTAATTAAAATTTTAATATAAAATCAATTCAATTTAATGTCAGCCATTTCTGTCTATTGAATATTAGCCAAAAGTTTTTCAGCAAAATGTTATAGGTCATTTCTATCACACCCAGCTTGGGTAGCCATTTGGTATTTATAATTTTGCTGAAAAATACGATGATCTTTATTCTATATTTTATAATAGTTTTTATCAGTTTATTTACAGTAATATTTTAACTAATTCTTGTTAAATATATTTTACAGGAAATAGATGTACCTAAACCAAAAAAACGTTATCATAAGAAATCACGAACAGATACAAAGTCTGTACAACAAAAAAGTTTACTTTCAAAACATCCTCTATCGGTTAAATTAACATTAAGTTTAAAAAACAATACTCAGTTTGTAATGGAATTTTTTTATTTGGTTAATTTAAATTTAATTACTGTTACTGTTACTTCATCTTGGTCTGGATTTTCTTCATCCTACTCTAGAGAATTGCTTTCACCAAGTTCTATACTTGATGCATTGTTCTCAGGCGATAATGGCAAAGAAAGTCCTCATATAGTCAACTTCCATCAATTAGAAGAAGTTAGTATGATTTAAGTGATAATTAATCATAAAATATGTAATGTTTGATTCATGATATAGGAAAAAACTGAATTCAACACTATGGAGGTAGGAAAACCTTACATTTGGGCTCAAAGTATATGTGGCTTGGATTTTTTAAATCCTAGTGTACCTAATTTTTTAATTTCAAGAAATCATATTGCCCAAGTATTAAAGGCAATTAATAATCGCCTTAAAACTCGACTTTCATTGATTACTCAGCTAGACTGCAGTGGTAATTAATTAATGACATTTTAATTCCCCTATTAATTATTATAATTATATTATTGTTATTATTTCAGACTTAGAACGAAGGTTCAGTGTAAATGGAATTAATTTAATTTCAGTTTTATCCCCATGGAATACAATGGCGTGGGAAAATTTTATTAAACTTGAATATTGTAAACCACATGTTGAATTTGGAACAGTGACAGAAAATGATTTATTATTTAAACGTGTAATAAATTATAAAACAGGTATGTAATATTGGTTAAATAATTTTTAAATAGATTACTGTATAACAGTTATTACTTATTATATAATTTGTCTTTTCAGCAACACTGACTGTGGTAATGGTAATTAAATGTGATTACCCAAAGAGTAATCCTATTTTCACACTTCAACTAAATATGCCAACTACAAATGAAGGAATGTCTGTTTTAAATTCTACAAATAATAATTCTGTTAGAGTATGCATCTAAAATTAATATTGTGTTGTGAATTAAAATAATGCTATTTTATAATAAAAAAAAATGTTTTATTAATATAGGAATTGGAGAGAGAAATTAATGTTTTTCATGAACAAATTGAAGATGAAGATATTAATGAAATGTTAATCAACATAATTGGTCGTCTTGTTGTTTGTTTTGAAGTGATGATGGAGACCTGGGGACATTTAGATTTTCCCAAAACTAAAACAATTTTGTATAACATAAGGTAATTCTTCAGATATTGTATTATAGTTTTTATAATAATATGTTATATACTATAATTTTGTTATTTTGTTAAAACAGTAACATAATTATTGATTTTATAATCCTTACTGTTTAAATTACCAAAAAATATTTAAACAGTAAACATAAACTGTTGAGTGATGGCAGAAGCTGATATGTTTTGCCGCTAAATATTAATATAGTTTCAAATAATGACATACCAGTTTGGGTCTTTGAACATAGATGGTGCCACATACACAATAAAGACATCATATTTTTCCACCACTTGAAATATACGATTTCTAAACTATTTAAATGATAATTCAAAAATTAACTAAATGTACGTTTCAGCTTCCGCCATCTTTCACAGAAATAACTAATTCGAAGATATAAATATTTTTTTTTTTAAGTCAACTTGTATAAACATCTCATATTTTTTATTGTACGTTATATTAATAATTATAAATTGGCTTCACAAATGTCAGTAGATTGAAAAAATAATACAGTTTACATTGTTATGTCATAATTTATATCAGTGTACTAACTAGTAACTTGTACTAACATTAATAGTTAGAATTTTGTAGTTGTAATACTTATCAACTCCGCAGGAAATGTATAAAATATTTTAAAATAGTTATTATTTTTAGTTTATAAAATGGAAATATTCTAAATTTTAGAAGTTACTTTAAATTATATTGTTTATTTTCAGGGGTCGAGCTAGAAATCATCCATTCAAGGCTGTTAAACATCATTCAGGAATTATTTTTGAACACCGTTAAACATTTTTTTTATTTATTTGAGATGTACGAATTCTATAATATGCACATCTTATTGAGTATTAAATATAGGTAGATACGTTGATTTATAATTTTATGGTTTTTGCATTTATGTATATGATACATGTTATAATACGATATATGAATGCTATAAGTTCTATTGTAATTATTTAAGATTTTTCAAATTTTAAGTAAAAGAGATGTGGATTTTAAAAATTATTCTTCAAACAAAACATTAGTATTTTAAACTTTGTAATTCATACAACTCATTTCAATTATATGCATAAAGTCCTACAATTACTTAATAATATTTACCAAGTGTATTAATAAAATAAACTTGATTTTAACACGTATTTTATTAATATTACATATTTTGTAATTTTGTATCAGTATTGTGAATACTAATTATAAATTAATTGCAAAGATGTATAAACGAGAGGTAAGAATTTAACATGCATATTCCAATATTCCATGTATTCAGTATCTGTTCAATAAACAATGAAACTGGAAGTAATACTATAATGGAGAATATAAACATTCAGTAAAGTTGTCATGTATCTACAGTTATTCTTTTTTGAATTACAACAAAATGAGAAAATAGCTACATGGAAAATCCAAGTGAATATCCCATGTTGATATGAACTTTAAACACTCATAAAAATTTAATTTGACTTGTGGAAATTTTTTTTGTTTTGCATAAAAGTAGACAAACTTATGAGGAATCTTGTATTACATTTTTAAATTTAACTCAAAATAATTTGCACATTTTTGAGGTTTTTACATATTTTATCAAGATTTTACCCTCAGCTAGTTTCTGCATTCTTAAACTTTTCGATTATGTATTAGTAATAACTGTTACCAATATTATAAAAACATGCAAAGTACTATAAACTAAAATAAAGTAATTTTTTTTTATAGAAGCATATTATAGCATAGCTGTTTGTACGTTGGCGCAACTATGTGGTTACTATGCTCTTTCTAATATTTAGCCCTCATAAGAATATCCTTTATTGATTTAGTTATAAACCCCATATGTGAATTTTAACCCCAAGTGCCTGGGTGGTTGTATCAATGAATTTATTAATTATTATAAATTTATTTTTATTACCTGAACTACTAAAAAAATTAAGACAGCCAGTGCACTTATTACTGTGTAATCAAAAATTACTAATTTACTAAATTTTCACCCATGACGGTTGGAAGCTTGTAAGCTTGTTCGAAGTCTACGTTCATAATCTGAGGATCTGGATAAACATTGTTTTTGGAACATTTATTGAAAATCGCAGTAAATATTTCCTCATTCGTACCATGAGTTTTTTTTAAGTAAACAAAATATTTATGTTATAAATGTATTATACTTTTTAATTCTATTAACATATAACTGCAAAACCAAATTTGTCGCTCAATTTAATGTTTCCATTGCAGAACTACATATCTGCCTCTGACAAATTAACTAATCCTTCATTCAATGAAGAATTGTTTTTTCTTGAACATTGCCCATTCATTATTAATTATAAGTTCTGACAAACATAATAGTTTTTCGGGTTTAACTTTATTTTATTGAAGCTGCAAAATTCTTTTGGCTATTTCTTCATTTGCAAGAGATGTTAAGGCCTGCAGCTCTGGTACCTGATTTATAACTTCAACAACAATTTTTGATGGAGTTGAAGTTATTGTTCAAACATGTTAATTTAATTTCACTCTTCAGTCTTGACTATTTTGACTATTTCTAGATTCTCATCGCCAGCATGCGAATGTTCAGGATAAATTATTGGATTTTTATAATCTGATTAATTGTTTAAACGTGTTTTATTATGAATATAAAATATATTTTTTTAAATTTTTAATTGTTTAAGCTTACCGACCATTGGAAGTTACTAAAAAGGCAGGACATTTTTTCAAAATTTTTTTAGAACATTTCCACCGAATACTCGAAACAAGATTATGATGAACCGTATATGAATATCCGTTAAAAGCAATTTTAGATTCTGAGTGAAACGATGAATGTATTGATTTTACAATGATGTGTGTTTTTTTTTTTTTTTTTTGTCTGTGTACACGATAAGTAGTCGAAATAATGCTTCAATTTTCAACTTCAGTATCTTGTTCGATTAGAAAGTGAATATCGTTGGTGCATTGTGGAGGTCAAAATTTAAATTTGACAGTAGTTTTCAAAAGCACCGGGAAAAACAAAAGAAAAATTAAGGAAAAACGGGAATTTTTACGCAAAATCTGTTTTCGAGAAAATCGATTTTGGTTTTTGGTGTAACTTTAAAACAAATGACCGTAGATACATGAAATTTTCAGTGGTTGTTTATATTTGCATTTTCTATACACGATAACATTTTCAAAATATTTTGATTGATTTTGAACAGTTTAGGGACATTTTCATTTTTCATTTTTTTTTAGTTTTTTTTCTAAAAATATCAATAAAATGTTATTTGTTGGTTAAAAAAACTTGAAAATTTAATAGAAGGCTCCTAGTATATTGTTTCAAAGGCAGATGAAAAATATTAAAAATTGTTAGTCAATCAGAAAAAAATATGAACGATGACTGACATACACAAATTAAGATATAATATATTAATTATATTATATTAATATATATTAAACCAACTGAGTTAAGTATACTTGTGCTCAGCGATATGGTTGGTATAGTTATTGGTCTATGTGGTTCTACAATTAAGGAAATTATGGAACAGACGAGTGTCAAGTAAAATTTAATCAAGCATTATTATATTAATTAAAAAAAAATGTTTATCATGCTTATCTGCTTATTAATTTATGTAAATTAAATAGGAATATTATATAGGAATTTTTGAATGGGAATATTTAATTATGTTCTAGGATCAATGTTAAAGAAATTTTTGAAAACTTGGAAAAAGCTATTACAATCTGTGATACTACAGAAAATTACACTACTGTATGTCGAAAGATTTTGGAAGTTGTGCAACAAAAAGCAATCTACATTCTACACTAATGACTAATAAAAGGTAAATGAGACACAACTGTCAACTACTTAGTAATTGTTGCACATTTAATATTTGTCCTTTTTTTATCATATTTTTTTAGCGACGTCATACTTAAGATCTTAGCACAGAAATATATATTTAATATATATATTATATAGGTACGGAAGCGTTGAAGGGCCAACCATATGTTTTTTTTATCTCATTATTATGGATTATCACAAGTCATTATTATAGATTATAACTCGTAATAACGGATTCGACAACTCGTAATAACGGATTGACAACTCGTAATAACGGATTGGATAACTCGTAATAACGGATTGGACAACTGGTAATAACGGATTGGATAACTCGTAATAACGGATTGGACAACTGGTAATAATGGATTGGATAACTCGTAATAACGGATTGGACAATGGTACGATAGTTATCGTACACATACAATGATTTAAGCCATTTGTACTTTGTGCGAATATTGTAGGTACGATCAGTGTCGCGAGAATTGGGGAAAAAAATCCCCGTTAGCATTATACCGGGGATTGACTATGTACAAATAATTTAAAAGAATTATGATATTTTTTTATAAATTATATGTATAATAATATTATATTAAAAATAAAATAAATATTGTATATTATTATGTTAAAAATGTCTTATACCCTAAAATTACAATATATATGTTTATATATATATATTACCTAGATGGTTAAGTACAGTGTTGGCCTGGGACACCAAAGGCCCATAGGATCAGTTTTTTAAGGGGCCCCATAATGGAATACAAAATTTACTTGACATTTTGGTGAAAAAATGCTCACCAAATGTTTTCCTTTAAAAATACATTTATTCAAATTCTGATTTTTAGAATTATTATGTATACCTAAAGACAATATATATTCAAATTCCTGATATTTTTTGTACTACTATTAAAGAGTGTCTTGTGGCTATACAAACTTAAATTTTTCAAATGACAATTTAATTTTACAAATTATTTATCTTGATAGCATAGCCGTGCGCAGGGGGGATGCTGGATATGCCATGGCATCACCTGCAGAGTTAGCACAACCTATATAGTTTTTAGTTGTAAATGTTTTGATTATAAATTAGAATCATGAACTAATTGATAGTTTATAGACTATAGTATCTCAGTTCAAGAATTTAAATATTTTGATTATTTTTTTTATCCTATTTTCTTAATAATAAAATATTCGGAGTTCAGACAAAATAAAATATTAATTAGATTTCATAATTATATTTTCATAATCACTACAGGTAGGTAGGTACCTAAAAATAATAAAATATATTGCTAACTCATAACAATATAGTTGAAATCAAAATCAACCGTGAAAATTGCGGGTTTTGTCACCAGAAAATTCAGGCCCTTGCAGTATTACTTATTTTCATACTACATTATACAATACTATCAAAAATAAAATTAATTCGATTAGTTAGATTATCATTTTTTGTCATTATTATAATTTGATCAAATGCCTGCAGGTTTTTATACTGTTACTTTATTGGAATTATGAAATCACAGTACAAGAATTTCAAATTAAAATATCTAAAACCAATAAATAAGCTAAATAAAATGCACGTTAATTTCTTTTCGCATTATATGGCAAGTTATTCGTACCTATTAAGAGTTTTTGGGGAGTTATTTTTTTATTGTGATAGACAGTGGCGTCCGCAGGGGGGGGGGGGGGGTGCTAATGGACTGAAGCCCCCCCATTGCCCTTATTATTATTACTTTAAAAAAAAGTATTTATCAAGTTTTTACTGTCAACTATAGTAGGTAAGCAAAACATAAATTTCATATATTATGTCTTACCAGAATGAATTCATTTTTGAAAAAACAATGTACCTATTTGCATACCAATATTCATAAGTTATCTGTAATTTTTTGGTAAAAGTTTTCCATGATTGTTATATAAATATAGTTTGTAATTTATTTCGGATTGCCTATCTAGGTGGCTAACTTGAAAGTTAATCTTGATTTTGACTTGAGATGACTGACTTGCTAGACACTCCAACACGGTTTTCGACTTTACACTTTTTACATAAGAAAAGGCACCGGACATGCGAAGGCACATACCACTCTATGTGATATACCTGCTATATATAGGTGATAGACGGATTGCTCATTTTAGTTTCGTCTTAAACGGTGATGATTAACTTGATAGACACTTTAACATGCAGGTATTTGCATTTTTTTTTTTAAATTAATATATTATATACAGTATACACTATAGTTAAACGTTTATATGTATTGTATTGGTTAATATAATAGCATATATCTAACTATCTACCTATATGTTAATTTTTTTTAGGAATTATAATTGCACATTTCTCAAAATGTTCATTGTTATATTATATCACACAATAAATACATATCATATTTGTTTGTATGTATATTGTATATAGTTTGAATTTTTTGTAAATTATTTCGTAAGTTGTGTGATAGGGTTTTCACTTATAGCCGCTTGATGTAGGGTCTGCAATCCACCGCAGGTGGATTGCCTACCTGATTTGCTATAGCACATTGTCCGCGATCCGACGAAGTCGGATTGCCTACGTAAGTGGTTAACTTGAAAGTTAATAGATTTTGACTTGAGATGGCTGACTTGCTAGAAACTCCAACACGGTTTTCGACTTTACACTTTTTACATAAGATAAAGCACCAGTCATGGTATGTGCAGGTATACTCTATATAGGCATAAGCGTGCGCAGAATTTCTGGCAGGGTAGTCATATACAATAAGTACATAAAACATTAACACACACACATATTACGTACCTACCTATATATTATAATATTCATATTCACACCTAAGTTACAATAACTAATTTGGACAATGGCGTCCGCAGGATTTTTCAATGGGGGAGGCTTGAAAATTAGTTACAATTTTCTTTTTATTTTGTCCAGTCTAATAATTTCAGACGTTTATTTGAGGTATTTTAAAATGTTTGTAACTTTTCAACTTTTCTGGTAGAAAAAATGCTCTGATCATAAGCTTCGATGATGCCCGGTGTATGTTTTTGGAAGCAAATTGGATCTAGTTGGTACTATTAGGAGGTTGAAATTAAAAATGCTCAGTGCTTTTAAAAATAATTTGAGAAAAAAAATGAAAATTTATTTAAATGTTTGGTTATACCGTCTTCACTTGGATTGTTTTAGAATAATTAAATTTTTTTTTCTATAAATGTCAATAAAAATTATTTATTCGGTCAAAAAGCTTAAAAATGTAATACGTATGTTTTTTTATTATAGCTAAAATATTAACGATACATAGGCATCATGCTTATTTTTTATAAGCATTTAAAGTTCAAATTGTCAAAACCACAGTTAATTTGTAGTTCAAAACTTATTAAATATTAAATGTGTATAGCTAATGCTAGACAATTTAATACAAGGTCTTTCATACAAATAGTTCATACTTTTACCGAAAAATTACAGATAATTTATGAAAATTGGTATGTTACAAATACTATGTTTTTTCAAAAATGAATTCATTCTGGTAAGACATATTTGAAATTTACGTCTTGCTTACTATAGTTGACAGTTTAACTAAATTAATATTTTTTTGAAAAAGTAATAATAATACGGGTAATGGGGGGGGGGCTTTAGCCCTTAAGCCCCCCCCCCCCTGCGGACGCCACTGAATTTGGATGGGGTAACCTCATTTAACTACATTTACCATGGTAAAAAAGTATTTTATGATTGACTATCAATTATCATAATAATAATAATATTGATTATTGAGGGGGCCGAGGGGAGTTCGCAGAGTAGTCAAGTGCCTACCATGACTACCCCGTGCGCACGCTTATGAATATATGATCCTGGAGATCGTATCCAGCCTATCCATTTACAACGTTTGTGACGGATTGCTAGACCCTCAAACTTTTAACATTCCCGCCAAAGCGTCTGGCCTTATCTCCAATCCATATCACTAATCCTTATCACAAATCCTAAACTTTCGTCTTACAACCTTTGCGACTTTTATAATTCATTGTCTCCAAAATCGGTACCCACTCCCAGCGAGTCCAACGGGCCCCGAGTTACACTTAGAGCTAGTTACTAAATAAGTCACTCTCTCACACGATTAAAGTATTTAACTGCCACAGCTAGGCTGCACTGGCTTGTTCTAATTCATAATATCGACTTGTGAGTTGAGTTAATCAATAATTATGATATAAAAAAACATATAGATAATAGATGGCTTTTCAACTCGTAATTAGTAATTAGTAATTACGAGTTGTCCAATCCGTTATTACGAATTGTTCAATCCGTTTATACGAATTGTTCAATCCGTTAATACGAATTGTTCAATCCGTAATTACGAGTTGTTCAATCCGTTATTACAAGTTGTCGAATCCGTTATTACGAGTTATAATCTATAATAATGACTTGTGATAATCCATAATAATGAGATAAAAAAAACATATGGTTGGCCCTTCAACGCTTCCGTATATAGGTACACAGAGTCACAGAATAGAATAGAGAAATAAATCTATGGCTGGGACAGATTTCCCGATTTTGATAACAGCGAGATATCATACTTTGTTATTTTGTTATCTACAACACTTATGTGTATACACAGACTTCTATACTACACATCACGGACTAAGATATACAGGACTGGACACGAGATGAATATTGTGGTTACGAAATGTTTTACAACAGGCGGAGTTCGGGGGGATATTTTCCTTTTAGCATTACTAGCGCCGTCCTAGTGGATACTTATGGAACTAGAACACATCTTACAAATTTCTAGTTCCATAAGTATCCACTAAGACGGCGCTAGTAATGCTAAAAGGAAAATATCCCCCCGAACACTGCCTGTTGTAAAACATTTCGTAGTCAACCCCCCCACACCCTCCAACCTTGTCGTGTCCAGTCCTGTATATCTTAGTCCGTGCTACACATCATGCATAGACGTATAATATATATTATAATATATATATGTATAATATAATATATATATATTATACGTCTATGATATCATGAACATTAG